AACTAAAATACTAATGGCCCCAGTAGTCGAAGTGGAAATTTCTTTTTGTTAAATTTCAAGTTCAATAAAAAATAAAATAAAATAATAATTACTATTAATACATTATAAGAATAGCGAAATTTTGTTTTTAGATTACAAATATAGAGATTTAAAGAAATTATATTAGGATTGTTCCATAACTGTCGTGGTATGAATAGTAGATTCTTTTTGCCTTTTTAATTTAAATGGTGTTTGAATTAAAACATATTTGATGACTTGCTCTATTTGATTCGTTGAGTTATCTGAAGCAGCAAACTTTTTTATTTTGAATACAGACTCTGAAAAATTAAAATTACTAATTTAATTAATTCACATAGCAATTTAAGACTTTATATAGCAGGGATGGCAAATCCATGGCGGCACGCAAAAAGATTTTGAGGGCACGCCAAGAGTTTTACTCTAATATATTATATAATATTATAGGTAAAATAGGCAAACATATTAAAAAATAAATTTTTTTTACGATATTGAATATAACATTCAATATTATAACAATATAATATTTTCATGGCACGCTCTAAAAAAAAAAAAAAAATGGTAATTTTTGGCACATAGTATTCAAAAGGTTTGCCTTCCCTGTTATATATAGTAACAATGTCAAAGGTAATGACTAATGAGCCCATCCTAAAATGCTCTGATCCTTAACTTGGTCCACCCGAGCTGCTGTCACCAAGAGTAAAATATGGTATCTCATGAATTATTTTTTGTTGTTTATACTCAATATCAATAATATTCACCAATAAAATTACATAATACCATAGTTAACTTTTGAACAATTTAATCTGCAGCTGAACACTGTAGTATAGTGTATAAGTATGAAAACATTTGAGTCAAATGTATGATTTTATTGTAATACAAATTTTATTTTGAAATAAAGTTCAATATTATCATAATAATAATATGCATATTCCAAATGTTTTAAAAAAACTTTTTTTGAAGGTTAATGAGAATTTTCTCTAGACAATAATAGATCATTGTTGAAAATAAATTATATTATTATCATCATGTACACCTAATATAAAAATCTGGGTTATATACTTATATTATAACTATTTATGAAATTATTTATTATCCAATAATATTTAATTTAGAAAAGATTCTAAACATATACTTAATTAATTATAGTAAATATAATATAACTTATTATTTGATTATTTTCTTGGTAGACTTAAGAGTTTAAAGAAATTCAGATACTTTTATTAAGACTATCGACATTTTTATTATTCTTAATGATTCCCAAATTAAATTAAATTTAAATGCAAATTATTACCAATTGATATTTAATACATTTTGTATATTCTTACCAAAAATTATTTTGTTTATTAATAAGCCAGCAAAATTTCGCTTTTTGTTACAACGGCCATTGTAGGAAAATGTTATTAATAGTTCTGGGTTGAATACCATAGTCATTATCCGTTTAACCATAGCTGCAATAGATTTTCCTCCAACAGAGGAAAGTCGTTGTACCTATTAAATTATCAATTTATTAATTACCTGTCTTTATAAATAAAATGTTTGAATTTTTAAACTTAAAGATCATAAATACTTACAAAATATGAACGATAAGTCTTGTCTCTAGCTATTTTACTTTCTATTTCAATTAATTCATCATATGTTTTGATAGGTAATTCATTATCAAATTGTGAAAATTGAGAAAATGTTGCAGTTTCTTGTGATATTGATGATATTTTTTCATCTTCTGCTAATTTGAGTATTATGTTTATTTTCTCATCCATTGAGCGCATTTCATATTTTAGAGTAAGAAGTTGATGAATAACTGACTTTTTAAAAGTATTATCTGTTAACAAAAAAATTAATTTAAATTAGAATAATACTTTACAAGATAATTTAATTTAGCAAACAAAAGAACTAGAAGAATTAAAATTATAATTACCATCTTCAATATTTTTTTTATTATTTGATGTTTGATTTCTAGATGCTGATTTATTTGCTGTAGACAATAGTAAAATATAAAATATAAAATAAAAAAACGATACTAAACAAAAGTTAAAAATTATTTAGATACCAACCAGAGAATAGATGTTTTGGACTATCCTGGATACCAATATCTGCTGGAAATAGGCTTCGTTTTACTCCTTTAAAATAAGCAGTAGTAAGAAATAATTTTAAAAAAACCAACAAATTTAAATGTTCATACCATAAGACTGAGATGAATTCATTGTTGGTGACACACTGGTATTGCCATAAGAGTTTTTTTCTAAAAAAATATAGTAAGTACATGAAATTATATAAAAAAAAAAAAATCAAAATTATAGTATGTATAGTTGTTAATAAATTGAATAAAAATACCAAATATTGGAGATTTTGTTGTCTCAATTAGTATTTTTGATGCTGTGATATTATTTGTAGAAGTATGAGGTATTTTTTCTGGGTTATCCAATACCATTATAGGACTCATAATTTTGTCTATAAAAATATAGATATATTTAATTTTTAAATATGGCCATTATCAGATATATTCATAATTAGGGCTCGGACCTTAATGCACTTAAAACTATTAATCACCGAATATGCAAAAATATGCACTATAAATTTCTAATATTTTTTTCTTAGTGTCGTCAAGCTTACTTATTAACAATAAATCTAATAACCCAAAAAACATGCAAATGCAACAACTTCCGAACCCTAGTTATAATTTATTATAATATATATTATATAGTTATAAACCTAGTACCTATTTCACCTCTATTTAAAGAAGTTTTTAATGGAGACCATCCAGCTAACTTTTTATTACTAGAGTCTGGATCTAATACAACATAAATATATAAATGTTAGGTATGTTATTGTAAGAGTTTAAGACTGATTTATAAACTAGTAAAAAATATTATATGAAAATTAAAATTAAAAAATGTACCTAGGTACTCAATTGTTATTAAATGATCATTTATCGTAGAAAAACAGTATAAAATTAAGGAAAAGATTAATTACCTGAATGATAACGTGGAATTGAATTACTGTTGTCATCAGATTGTTCATAGTCTAAAAAAAAAACTTACATATTATAGTAAAACAATTTAAATAAAATATCTTTTAATAATTTTATTAGAGTAGGTAACATCAAGTTAATTGTAACTATACTAAAGTACACTGAGCCAAAATATTAAATTGATAAAAACAAACCAGATTCTGAACTTGGAGTCTTTTGTTTTTTTAATATCTTATAACTCTTTCGTTTAAAATTATCTTCTGCAGAGGAAAGATCAGATTGGATCCTTGCCTTTTCACATTTTTTTTGAGCATTTGAAAAGTTATCTTAAATAAAAAAAAAAGATTGTATGCGTTTTAGCTGTATCTACTTTGTAGTACCATATTTAATTTAACAATAATGTATGGGTTAATATTTCTTTATTAATTATTACTTATTAGTAGGACATTTACCCAGTGCTCGTCTTGAGGGGGGACCAACTAATTTTTCAGAAATTTTAGCGTACCCCTACTTTTATTATAAGGGGAACACACGAGACGCTGCATTATTCTGCATTTTTATCAAAATGCACACCATAACATTATAATTTTTCTTACCCTGGATTTAATAATATAATATAATTTATTATTATTTAATTAATTATCTTTGATCATGTGATCCACATATAAAATTGGAAGATAAGAAAAAACATATCTATGATAAATTATGGAACTATTTAAATAAATAGTTAAAATGAATTGTTTTTTAAACACGTGATGGGGACGCTCTTTTTTTAAAAGTTAACAGAGTCCCCCTACTTTAAATTTGCCAAGTCGAGCACTGCATTTACCTACATATTAATTATTATATGTAATTATATATGTTTATGTATGTAGGCACTATTATACCTATATATTATGGCTATATAGTTAAGACTAATTATTATACTTACCAATATTACTAGCGAAACAACGCGCCTTATAAAATGTAAAATCTTCATTGTTTGGTCGGATTTTATGAAGAATTGCCTTTTTTAAATCTTTTTCGTTTAAAGATTTGGGCCAAGCACAATATCCGTTTTTAATTTTCATCCATTTGTCAGGAACTACTTCGACAGTATTATCCGAATTAAAATTCACTACAGACCATGTCATTGTCTATGTTTAATGCTCAATGAAAATTTGAATCACAATATTTAAAATAATAACGGTTCACAACGCGGCGTTCTATGACGGTCGACGGATGGAGAATCGAGTATAATTATTGCGTGTAAATTGATATAATTATTATAATATAAATAATGCACCATACGCGCCGGACTAAGAACTTGGCGGACGGATAAAAGGGAATGAACTATGAACATGACAAAATAAACGGGTATGACAATGACAGCAATATTTCATTCTGATGATTTTCTGTGCAAATATGGCGTACGTTATACTCCAATTCTCATTAGTCGAGAATTGATCACATGACTTATCAAACATAGATATTTTGTCTTGGGAATGAATATCATAAAATAGTTATTACTGTCTGCGTTGTCGTCGTGATCGACACACGCCGATAACGATACATCAATCTATAAATAATAAAATAATAATAAAAATATATATAATAATAAATGGTTGTCGTCGTGGTCGGCCCGACGACTGTCCGAGTCCGACACTCCGACGCACTGCGATAACGCAACCAGATATAAAAATAATAATATTTAAAATAGTAAAATCACTACAGCAGTACAGCACACTTCTTTTCTTAAGTTTAATTTTGAGGCATAATAATATGTTAAATATCTACTATTACCTTAATTTTTTATTGCCATCAATAATTATAATTATTTAACCATTTAAGAGGGTTGGAACTTTGGAAGTATTTATTGATTCTTTGTAACCGATTATTTTATTTGGTACCTACTACCTACCTAATAATTTGGTAATTTTTACTACAATTTGATTAGGTACTAAATTAAATTTCATATTTTATTTTGACATTTGTTTGCTACAGAGAATATTTTGTTAGTTAATTACTAAGTAGTATGAGTCATCGTGCTCATAATAATATGAGTAGGTCAACAAAAAGGAGACGTGTTCTTCAAGAGATTGAGAGCTTAATACATTTTGACACTGATTATGAATCAGATCACGATAATACACAATTTGAAGACCCATTACTACAAGAAGATACTAGAGATGTTTCACAGTGCTTTGATACAACGATTTTTGAACAAAATCAGTTATTGGAAGGTAAAAAATAAATTATAATTTATTCAGATAGGTGTAATATGTTAGATATTTAATTATTTATTTTTTTATAACATCGATTGGAAATGGGTTTAATATTTGCTGTAAATCAAATAAAACAATTAAACCTACACTAAATATGATTATAAAATGTAGGTTCGTAATTACATACGTAAATAGTAAATACGTATTACGTAATAATAAGAAGTAGCAGAGGTCCGTCGCGCGTCGTGGCTTAGATGACCGGACGACGTCTAATTAGTAAAATACCTATTACTTTATTTTTAAAATGAACTACATTCGATTACCCATGTATACACTGGACGTTTCCAGTCATACGATAAAGAATTATTTTTAAACTATTAATATATTATATAATATACACACTACACACATATGAATATAAATTATAATATATATAAAATCTAAAATAGACTTAGATAAATAAAATATTAATATTCTATAAGTTATAATAATTATGCTTTATTTTATTATATTTAATTTGTAGTATGAACTGTTATTATTCTGTTATTTTATATGGGTATATTAAATAAACTAAAAAGAGAAAAAATATATTTAAACTCAATAGTATTAAATAATTTATCCAGTTTTAACCCTTTTTTTAAATTTTAGGTTCTGATATTCCCGAAACTGGAAGTATTTTATCCTTTTCAAATTCTGCTGGAGATTTTTCTAATTTATTTGACGACAGTGATAATAATACAGTTGAAAGTTCAAGTGAAGAAGATAACACAGAATTTTCTGATAACTCACCCCGTACTCAACTCGCACAATGGGCTATAAAACATAATATCACCAATATAGCAATGTCTGATTTACTTAAAGTGTTAAATGCCTCTTACGATCAATCATTACCTTTAGACGCAAGGACTTTATTAAAAACTGATATTTCTAGTAAAACTTCTGTTAATTTAAAAAACATGTCACCAGGATTTTACTATCATTTTGGAGTTTTGAATGGAATAAAAAATCATTATATTATTGAAAATAGTCATATTAATGAACCAATAAAACTAGTTGTAGGAATAGACGGACTACCGTTAACTAAAAGTTCTAAAAGCACGTTTTGGCCGATTTTATGCTATATTCGTCCGTATTCACACATTGTGTTTCCAATTGGACTATATTGGGGCAATGAGAAACCACAAGAAAGTAATGATTATTTATTTGATTTTGTTAACGAGATAAAAGATCTTATTAATAATGGAATTGAAATTAAAGTCAGTTCAGGAGAGTTTATTAAAAAACAAGTTATTTTAGACGTATTTTGTTGTGATTTACCTGCTAAAAACTACATTTTGAAAACCAAAGGGCACAACGCATATTTTTCATGTTCTAGGTGTTGCATAGAAGGGGAATATGTATGTAGAAGGGTGTGTTATCCTGACATAGACTGTCCTAAAAGAACTCACGAAAGTTTTATAAATAAAAATCAAGAAGAATATCATGTTGGTGAGGTAATGTCAATCCTTATTGATATTCCTGGAATTAATATTATTAATTCATTTTCACTCGATTACTTACATATGGTATGCATAGGTGTTACTAAAAAAATAATTACTTTGTGGCTTAAAGGCCCCTTACATTGTCGTTTAAATAGTACCAAATGTAAATTTTTGAATGTTAATTTATTAGCACAAAAATTGTTTATTACATGTGACTTCCAACGTAAACCTCGTGGTGTCGATGAAGTTTTTCGTTGGAAAGCTACAGAATTTCGGACTTTTTTACTTTATTTAGGCCCTGTCGTGCTTAAAAATATAATAGATAAAAAATTATACTCCCATTTTCTTTATTTAAATATATCTATGCATATTCTTTTAAAAGAAAATAGTAGTAGTAGTCTTTTAAATTTTAGTAATGAGCTATTAAAGTATTTTGTTAAGCAATTTGCCTCAATTTATGGTATTGAATGGATTTCTCAAAATATACATGGCTTACAACACATCACTGATGATTATTTATTATTTGGGTCTTTAGATAACTGTAGTACTTTCCCATTTGAGAATCACATGAAAGTTCTTAAAAAATATATAAGGAAGTCTAACCAACCATTACAACAGGCCATTAAACGTTATAGTGAAGAAACAAAATACGGACAAAAACCTCATCTAATTAACTATGATTCTAATTGTTTTACATTTGAAAAGGAGCATAATAATGGACCTTTAGGAACAAAATATTTAAATCAATATTTACAATATAAAGTTCTCAATTTTAAAAATACAAAAATTAAAATCACAGATGAAGCTAACTGTTATATACTAACTATGGATGATGATGTGGTTAAAGTAGTAAATATAATATGCCAAACATCAAAACAAAATATTTTTATTTTAGGTTACGCGTTTAAAATGAAAACTTCTTTTTATAAAAAGCCTATTGAAAGTTCAAAATTGAATATTTTTGTAGTTGATAAACTAAGTAGTAATTTGGATAGATGGCCTGTGGAAAAAATTAAGTGTAAATGTATTATCCTTAAATGTGGTAACCAAACTATTTCATTTCCAATTATTCACACTTACAAAGACTAAATACTAATGTTGTATAGGTAGATAGGCCTATATTTATTAACTGTAATTAATAATTAATAATTAATTATATAGGTAAACATTTATATGTATAATAATATACATATTATTATAATGCATTGGTATAATATTATGTAGGTACTCAGGAGATAATCAATGTATAATGTGTATGCATAATATATTATAATTTAAACAATAACTTTATTCTGATGAAAATGCAATTTCTGTATCTTCAATTTAATTTAATTATATTTCCATGTTTAGTTTTATGTATTAGCTGTACCAACTTATATGTATAATATATACTATATGTAATATGTCTATATACTGTATAGACTTAAAGTAAATTTTAATCTATAACATAAAATATTAAATTTGTTTAAAAATGTAATTTTTACATCATAATATATTTGTAATTGCTATAATATTATGTAATGTTAGTTTTAATATTATTATAACAGACTGTTATTAACAGTCTATAATAATTAATGTTTATACTGTTTTTATTTTAATGAAAATATGGTTAAGTACTATTTAGGTATATTTGTTATATTTTCTGTTTATTATTATACAATATACTGTCTGAATTTTTCATATACTTTTTAAATTCATTAATGTAGGTATAATATAAAATATTCTATAGGTATTTTATACGTTTTATATTTTAACAATTTATCACATATCATTTACTAGTATTTGACATTTTTTTATAAACCAATTGTATGTATACCTACTTTAAAATTAATTAAATATATTTTATATTTTACAAACGCCAATTAGTATTTTATTAACTGCAAATTTAGCCTAATAATTTAATATTATTGTTTTCTAATACCAATATTTGTTTTTGGGTACCTAAATAATAACTACCTATATAGATATAATATTATGTGGAGGAGTGGTGCGCCGGGCAACCGAGACATTAACATAACGAAAACGAATTTATGGTGTGAACCACGAATTATAAATAATAGTATGTATAATATACGCGATATGTCACCAGGACTGCGCGATTTCTTACATTAAGTCGTTTTGTATTATAATAAAATAAAGATAAGCTAGTAAATCACGCAATCTAAAAATAGTTATTCAGGCGGATTATAATATTTTATTACGATTGACATAATACTTAAACAAAACAATAAAATATGCGACTATATGATTGTGAACAACAATCAACATCATAGGTTTGCATTTTTATTTTAAAAAACCAAAATATTATAGGTACTGACCACATATTATTGTTGTATAATCTGTGATAATCGGAATAAATTCAAATAAAAATGTACCCACAAAGTTTTTACTAAGTTAATGTACAATATTTTCGATTTCTTTTTTATTTTAATATTTTTATTTTATATTGCAATAATATATGTACGAGTATATCAAAAACAAGAATAAACAAAAAAAAGGGCATACGATTATAGAACAAAAGAAAAAGAAAAAACTCTTGTCTATGATTGGGCAAAAGTATGTGAACATGAATTAATTATATTTCAAAGTTATGGTAGTATGTAACTCTATAGTTTGTAGCAATATACTTTTAATTAAAAATTTTAAAATGTTTTCTTATTTTTAATTTTTGTACAATGTACATATTATATTAAGCGTAGAAAGTGGGAGGCTAAGGGGTCTGTAGGCTCCCCAGAATTGTTTTTAGCCCACTGTGTAAACATGTACTTTTTATACTCCATGTAATAATAGCTAGAGAACTAAAAAGGCTATAGCCCTATATTTATAAAACTTTATTACACTTTTAATAAATGTTTAAAATTTACCATTTAAATAAAAACGTGTATTCTATGTTTAAAAGCCGATCTTTAATTGTAGTTTAATGGTCAATGCTTAATAAATATATTTTCTACAACTTTAGTTAAACGTAAGAATTTATACATTTGTTAAGCCTTTAACAAAAGTTTAGTTTTAAATATATAATATTTAATCTATTTTAAATGTTTATTGATATTTTAAAAATGTATTTATTTTAAGTATTTAAAAATAAATATTTAATTAAATGTTATGCAATATTTATATGTACACCTTTAAACTTAAACCAAAACTCAACGTTTATATAAGTTTTAACATTGAAAAATGCTATGTGGGTACATTCCACCATTTTACAAGTATTAGTAGATTATATTTATACTGGAGAAATTATGGTCACAAAAGAAAATGTACAGGTATAATTGAATATTAATTTAATATGTTATTCAAATAACATAATATCATTTTATGTGAATTATTGTTGATTTCTAAGGTGTTGTTACCAGCTGCAAATGTCTTACAGCTAGAGTATGTAATTAATGCATGTGCTGAGTTTTTACAAAAACAACTGGATGCATCTAATTGTATTGGTATCAGATCGTTTGCTGACTTACATAACTGTACAAAATTGTTATCAAGTTCTGAAGCATTAATAAAAAAACAGTTTCTGTAAAATTCAAATAACTTAATTGTTTATATTATTCATTAATAAATTATCTATATAATGAAAATTATTTTCAGGGAAGTGGTTAAAAGTGATGAGTTCCTATCTTTATCTTCCGATGATGTGGTAAAGATTATCTCCTGTAATGACCTTGGTGTTCCATACGAAGAAAAAGTAAGCAAACAGCAATTTGTAATTTGAATATGAATATTTTGTATGGATAATCAACTTAAAGAAGGTGGGCAAGTGAGTATTGCTCTAAGTGTCTTGAGGGATTGATGAAAGAAATGTGTTTTTAATATTTGAATTCAATGATATAAAATAACTGTTTACAAAAAAGAATTGTAAATGGTGGTTTAATAATATTATTAAGTATGATATAATCTATTTGATTCTATTTTATCTACTAAAAAATTTGCATTTGAAAATATCATTGTGTGTATACAATACAATAATATATTTTAAAAGTTTCAAGTACCTTTCCAATAATATTTTTAAATTATAAAAATGTAATATTGTTATAATTTTAGCTTTTTGATTGAACTTGTACAGTTTTATTGACAGTTATCAAATTTTAAATGTCAATAAATAGCTTAAAAATAGTTTAAATATTTTTAAAATGATAAAATAAACAAGTATTATGTATGTATTTGTATCTACTTATTTGTTATAAACTAGATATAATTGTACAAAGTATTAATGGTATATTTGGTTTGCATCCATTTTATCAATTTGTATTAAATGATGAATTTTCCTTGTCTGCTCTGACTATGACTAACTAACTTAAAGAAGGTGGGCAAGTGGGTATTGCTCTAGGTGTCATGAGGTATCACCAGGGGTACGACACTCCGTGAATTGGTCCGATCGGGCGAGGGGGCGTGGCATAGGTGAAATAGGGAATGGTAAACAAGCTGACCCTGCTTAGCGCCTCTCGCCTAAGTTCCGGTAAACATTAACATAGTACCACCTTGGGTCTAACATCATATTGGTAAACGTTTCAGTGTTTTTCGGAGGTTCCGACTTCAGATCATAGGGAAACAAGACCCCAATCAGTTGATCGAGTGTTGCTTCTATATTGTTCTGTTTTATCACTGTAAGAAATGGGTTTCATAGATTTTGAACAATGATATGTATAAAATAACTGTCAGCGAAAAAGAATTGTGAATAGAGGTTTAATAATTTTACCAACTATGATATTGTTATTAAAATAATCTATTTTGCCATAAGACATTAGTCATGCTGCATTACTGCAGACGGTTATATTATGTTTGCTAAAAATTTGCATTTTAAAATATCATTGTGTGTATACAATACAATGATATATTATTTTAAAAGTGTCAAGTACCCTCAAATATTATTTTTAAGATATAACAATGTAAAATTGTTATCCTTCAAGCTTTTTGACTTGACAATAAATACTATTTGATTAATGTTATCGAAAAAAACTAAAAGAATTCTGTTTTTGAGTTTAAATATTTTGAAAATGATAAAATAAATAATTGTTGCAAGTATCTATTATGAATGTATTTGTATCTACCTATTTGTTGTAAACCAGGTATAATTGTACTGAGGATTAATTATCTAATGGAATATTTGGTTTACATTAATTTTATCAGTTTGTATCAATTAATGAATTTTCCTTGTCTGCTCTGACTATTACTGGCTATAAATTGCACCATGGCGGTAAATAATTCTTAATCAAAGAGTATAATAGATTTCACACAACTAAAGAAAAATAATTTAAATTGCTACAGTCTACAGACTTAAATATTAAGTCAATCCATTAATAAATAAATCTCTATTAAATATGAATTTAGGAATAAAACAATAATGAAAAACTTCAAGTAAAAACGACAAGAGTAAAAATCACAAATATCGGTATAAGTAACTTATAGGGGAGGGGGGCTGTATTAAACAAACCGAATATTTATGCAGCTATAGTCCTATAGCATAAGCTATATGATATTCATATTTGTGATTTGTTATTTATTTTTATTATTATTATTATTATTTGGAAAATTAAATTTTTGATATTTAAATTTGATAATTTGATAACTGTCTTATAATAAGACAGTTATCAAATTATCAAATTTAAATATCAAAAATTTAAATTTCCAAATAATAATAAATAACAAATCACAAATATGAATATCATATAGCTTATGCTATAGGACTATAGCTGCATAAATATTCGGTTTGTTTAATACAGCCCCCCTCCCCCGTCTCCTGATATATTCTTTCAGTGGCGGATTCAGGGCTTAATTAGGAGGGGACCATGGAGGGGGAAAAATTACATAGATGGGCCATAT